CCAAGCCAAATGCCACTCTTAGCTTTATGCGAACACAACTTGCAGTTCTCACACCACAATTACTCTCAGTGATGTTGAGGGCATATGCCGGTCCACAGCTTCAGGTTCACGACGTCATCGCACCCCCTCCTTTAAAAGAGACATAAATCTTTTGGATTGAGTGCACAGTCGAGCAACGAAATGGGTGATAAGATTGAAAGATCGAACCAACGAAGATAGACTCCATCATTAAGGATTATTCCCCCTGAGTTACAGAAGATTCACAGATGACCCCGTTATGACTTTCAACATAATAAACACTCCAAACCATCCTAAAGTGAGCATCTTACAGATGCAACACCACCACTACCCTCCAGGCAATCTTCGGAAAATTGCTCATAAAAGAGCGAACACTCAGGTTCATGCACAATTTTCGTCATTAAGTCTCGTTGCAACTTGGAATGTTCTCCCAGCAGACATGATCACAACCCTCTCAGTGGACAGCTATAACAAGAGACTTGATAATCACATATCGATATACGGAATATCATCTCTCTCTTAGACAAGCTGTACATGATGCATATCTTGAGACTCGCTAGTAGTTATTATTACCTTCTCTTCAGATCACAACCTTAATCTATCTATCTATCTATCTAAATTAATCTATCTCGCCTATTACCTCTGTTTCCTCTACCTTGTTTACACTTCAGTACTCGCTCACAATCTTCACTACCAATTAATAAACTAAATTATCTCTGGACTTACTTAGTTCTGAAATCTTATTCATATCAGTATCAGAATTTTCTACTTATTATTCTCCACATTGCAACTAACTGATCTCCGATCTAGTAATATGATAGCTTCTGGTATCCAGAAACCCTACAGCCCTGCAACAAACGTTTTCATTCAAATCCTGAGACATACAAACTCACAATCACCTGCCAAATGACTAGAATTAGACACTCAGATGTCTAGACCTCCATTCATTGGACGCTACCAGACACCTGGAACCATACTGAAAGAACAAGAATCGAGAGCAAAGAAATCAATTGGTTTATACTAGCTACTGAAAAAGACATTGGATATTGGATATTGGAGGCAGATTTGGACTGGGTTTGAACTTTCATCGGTGCTTTAACAAGTCGGTACGCGTTGTCATAATGAATATCCTACATACTATGGTTTGTGATGTTGCCCCAGATATACTCCGTTCACTGCCGATCCCAAAATCTTTTAGAGATATTTTCCGATTGTCATGTGAGCTATTAAAGTTAAATTTACATGTCTGTAGTTAAAGATGTGCTAGCTCTTACTGCTTTTGGTTCATTCAGTGGGGCCATTGGCTATGCAGTATACACTACTGTAATGCTTCACCTTGGAAAACGGAAGGTTCCTATCAATGATAATATTCGGAAACATATAACGAAATGTGTTGATGTTGTGGATATTGAGTCTATAACAGACAAAAAGGTATATTGTCGGTGCTGGAAGTCAACTAAGGTATTTTATTAGACGATGTTTGATTTTTTTTCAGTTTCCCTATTGTGATGGAGCACACAACAAACATAATGAAGAGACTGGAGACAACATTGGCCCTCTCATAATTGAAACCAAAAAGTCGTCGTAATGAATCTCAACACAACTTAGTAATACTTTCCTAATCGTTTTATAATTCTAACTATAGTTTCGTAGTTGACTGTCTGCACTTTTCTGCAATATCGATCTGTTCCTCACTGAATGTAATAATTTTGATACAATACCCAGTCAAATACATTGTTATCTAATAAACTGTTTTCAATCTGTTTACTAGAATACTGTGGCTACACATGGATTACTCGGCTTCAGCTTTATAAGATTGGAATTAAAATTATTACTATGTTACATTAGGCAAGCGAATTTAAATAAAATGAGGTAGTTGAATGATAACAAAAAGTATGCAACTAGTTAGTTCTCTTGCTTCGATCACGTTTTGGCAAGGTCTGTCTTCACAGATTGGTGTCGCTGATCCATTTCCAACCCTCCATCACTTAAAGTGGAACCGGCAGTAACCCTGGGAGTGCTCCAGGTCGATTATAGTCATCCCGTGCTCAAGTTTTTTTACTAACTTGTACTGTCACTGCCCTGCTGTTATGTTGAATCTTCCTAATATACCGGTAACATTTATCATTACTCAAATGAATTGTAGAAGATCACCGTGCAACTGCATGGTTTTATATCAACGTTCACTGAACAATGGAGGTTCCAATCGCCATTAAAGATGTACCTGGGACTGTATTTTTAGTGTATGTCATCGGCAACCTATAACTTGCTGAGGTTTTGTATTGATTCAGTTTACTTCACCATAATAATTTGATTTCTTTCAGGAAGTTTTGCACTTAATAGCTATTCTATAACTTTTGTTGTTGGACTGGCTGTACCCAGCGTGTGGGTTGACTTCTCACCATTATCCCATTTTATTGGTGACTATCTTTATAATATTCCATACATTTTCATTAGTGCACCATTTCTTGTACTTTTTACAACTTTATCCGGATGATAAAGGGTTAGCACTAGGTTTGTCATTAACAAAAAGGACTAATGTACAAACACATAATAGTTAAACTCTAGAAACCCTAGAAGTGGTACATTATTGCATTAATGTGAAAAGAAAGCAGAGCAAGTTCCTGAACCAAAACTTGGGTTAACTAAACGACCTCATAGTTTAAATTAACTATGATCTGTGAGTTAACTACTACTTTGGTAATTCACTTGGCCTAAGGTCACGGATAAACATTATTAAAATGTTTATTTACATTGGTATAAAATATTTAACAGTTGTCGCTTTATTTCATACCTTTAATGTTGAATAACCCTCCATAGAGCTAAGATTTCTAAGTTCAAACATGCAAATTCCAGTCTTTAGATCGGTTGTTTCACCTTGCTCCACCGATTGTAGTTCAATTGATTAGTTACTATCACTAACCTCTACATGATAAGTAAGAAGGCACAGTATATCCAAGACCAACACTAATCTATCTTCCTTTTCAGGTCCCTCAAGAAACAACCTCCCACGGTGTGGGCAGCCGGGAAGTGACAACCGCCCTCATACCCGTAACAGCACGACAAAATTGGTCAAAATCAAATCCTTCCTGCACCCCCTAATACCTCTCTTATCTCCACGACTAACTCTTCTCACATTCATTTATCACAGTGCACAGCTAATGCAGACGATGCGAGTTCGCGAAACGTCGTTCCTGGTCTCCTTAAACTCCGTTCTAAACTACATGTTGGAGCATTTAATGTACGGACATTGTGTCAAATAGGGCAACAGGCATCATTAGCTAGGACTTTAGAATCTCGTGCCATCGATGTATGCTGCGTCTCGGAAACGCGCATACAGGATCCTACTAAACGGGATAGTAAGGATTCGAAAGGATAGGGACACTCGTCGTTGCCTCTTCGTCATATCAGCCTACGCCCCCACTGACTGCAGTTCAGACGATATGAAAGATGAGTTCTACAGGAAGCTTTCGAACCTCCTCCAAAAGGTTAAGCGCTCTGATATAGTTATAATGGCTGGTGACTTTAATGCTCAAGTAGGTAGACTAAGTGAAAATGGAAGACAACTAGGTGGATGTTATGGTGTCGCGGCTCAGAGAACAGACAGTGGCGACCGTCTGTTGCAATTGTGCTCAGATAATCAACTATTTCTAGCAAACACAAATTTTAGGCATAATGAAAAACATCTTTTGACCTGGCGACCCCCGAAGTCGTCTCAACGTTGGACGCAACTAGATCATATCGCCATCAGCCACCGATGGAGGGGTTCGATAGAGGACTGCCGCTCGTTCTGGGGCACCTGTTTAGATTCAGATCATGCCCTAGTGCGAGCACGTATTTGTTTGAGGTTTGCTGGACGTAGGAAAGACACCGTAAGAAAGCCTCTTAGGGCTTTACTTAATGATAATCAAGCTAAGAAAATATTTCAGGAAGAACTAGAAAAACATGCAAGTGATTGCCATCCGGAGGCAGGTTGGAATGATATCAAGAAGGCTGTGTTAACAGCAGTGATATCTGCTAGTAAGGTAAACCATAAGGCTAGGATGAAGCCGTGGATTTCAGTCGCATCCACCGAACTGATGAATGCTCGAAAACGCATCCCACCTGACTCTGAACATGATGAAGAGCGTAGTCGGCTTAGGCGCAGACTTATAAAAAGCCTACGTAACGACCGTGAACAGTGGTGGGTGGCGAAAGCAAAAGCGATGGAAAAGGCAGCGGCTTTAGGCAACACTAGACAACTTTTCCACCTTATCAAAGAAACCGGTATTAGGAACCCGAATGTGAGTGAGACTATCTCGGAAAAGGATGGTCTTATTATCCATTCTCAATCAAGGAGATTGGACCGATGGGCAGAACACTTTAGCGATCAGTTCAACTGGCCTCGAGCCACACTTCGGTTGCCCACGATCCCCAGTCATCCTGAATGGCCAATCGATTTAAGTCCTCCCAGTCTACATGAAGTTGAGAAAGCTATAGGAAACCTGAAGCGATGTAGAGCAGCAGGTCCTGATAGATTGACCCCTGAGATGTTTAAGGATGGTGGTCCAGTTCTAACAGTTAGACTGACCGAGATCCTAGCTAGAATCTGGGAACTGGACGTAATCCCATCTGACTGGTCTCAGTCGCTAATTGTCCCAATCTACAAGAAAGGACAAAAGTCCTCTTGTGACAATCACAAGGGAATAAGTCTAACTAATATAGTATCTAAATTGCTAGCCTCGATTATGCTTAGAGGTCTAACTAGAGCTCGTGAAGAGCAGACTCGAGAAAACCAGTCAGGTTTTCGACCTGGACGTGGTTGTATAGACCACATCTTCACACTACGACAGGTCCTAGAACACACACACATTTAGACGTCCGACAATAGTCGTGTTCCTGGACCTAAAAGCGGCATTTGACTCAGTGGATCGTGAGGTTCTGTGGCAGTGTCTGTCATTGAAAGGTGTACCAAAGAAGTACATTAACCTTATACAAGCACTCTATTCGAACACTACTGGTCGAGTGAGAGCTTATGGCGAACTGTCATCTGAATTCTCTACATCAAGTGGTGTCCGTCAGGGCTGTCCACTCTCTCCATTCTTGTTTAGCTTTGTCGTAGACATCCTCTTAGATTTAAAATTAAGCTCGTCAGATTTCTCAGGGGTTGACTTTCTACCAGGAACGTCGCCTACTGATCTAAAATATGCCGACGACATAGTTCTATTCGGTGAAGAAGCTGACAAAATGCAGAGTCTTCTGACAACCATAAGCAACAATGCGAGCATGTTCGGGATGCGGTTCTCACACTCGAAATGCAAAATGTTGCTTCAAGACTGAGTTGCGTCGGCACCTGAACTAGTGATAGGGAGTGAAGTAGTCGAGCGTGTTGATCGCTTCACTTATCTTGGGAGTCTCATCAGTGCTGATGGTCTGGTGACTAACGAAATCTCAGCTCGGGTACAGAAGGCTCGATTGGCTTTTGCTAACCTGCGTCACTTATGGTGTAGGCGCTCCGTTCTCCTATATGGCTGTGAAACATGGCCGTTAAGAGTAGAAGATTTTCGTAGGTTACTAGTATTCGACCATAGATGTGTTAGAAGCATTGCTCGAGTATCGTGGGACAACCGAGTAAGCAATGCGGTCGTTGGGAAACGAGTTCTAGGTAAGGATGGCAGATCGATAGATGAAGTAGTGAAACTTCATCAGTTGAGGTGGTTGTGACATGTGTTACGTATGGCTAACCGCCGACTGCCGCGACGAGCTATGTTTTGTGGTGTAGGAGTAGGTTGGAAGAAAGCTAGGGGCGGCCAGACCAAAACATGGTAGAAATCCATGAAGTCACCGACTAGTGGACTGAGTCATGTTGGTAGATGTAGACTACCTGGTTGGGGTCCACGAGACAAAAGTCACCAATGGTTAGAGACCTTGGACGACATGGTTCAGAATCGTTTTCAATGGCGCAAGTGCATCCGCTCATTGTGCTCTCTCAAATCCTAAATTTCTGGATTCGTCAACACCTCTACCTTTTTCTTTCTAACCTTATCCCACTGAATTATACTTTTTGAATAATATCTTCGAACCCTATTCTTCTTCATTACCATTAATACCTCTACTATGTTTATCACTATCGGATTTGATTTGACATTTGCGTCTCTGTGCTAATGTGGTATGGCAACCTGAACTTATGTACATACGTACGAAGTTCTACGTTGCAACTGCCTGGCTGAGTTAATATACTAGTGTATTCAGATATGGTAAATCTCAGTACGTATATTGATGCTTATCAATTTGAATGATTTTAAAGTTGATAAGCACGTCATATCTAACCTAATAACAACAGAATATAAGCAGGGAAGTTTAGTTATTCGGATCAATTCATTGATATGTCGCGAAGATCCTTAGTTTGGTAAAAACTTAGCATGTTTTTGTCGACCTTTTGCTTCCTCGAATGAGTGACGTGCCATTTTCCAAACTGATACTACCAAGTAGCGGACGACTGTCACTTGATCAGCGAATAATATCTGCAAGTTATCTCATCCGAACATACAAGCTACCATCAGGACCTTTTCTCCACTATTATCTGAGCCCAAATGAATGAAGGTGAGTTCGGTCACTCGTATAAATTGCTGTAGATTTGTGGCATCTAGCAGTTCCTTATGTTCTTTCCGACTTTTCAACATCAGCTTAGATCATACTTAGAAGTTCCATACGTTCACTGTCTAATAGATACGGGTACCCGTTTTTATGTACTGTATGTACTT